TAGAGTAGAGTAGAGTAGAGTAGAGTACATTACGTTAGAGTAGTACTTACGGTAGACGTAGGCCGTCATGAATGCCCCTGACGAAGTTGTGCCGAAATAATCTCAGGATGCCGAAGATAGCGTAGGACGGAGCAAAGGCAGTAGCATTGGTCGTCACCACCATCAACGTCAGCGAAATCAGCAATGTCTTCCGTCTACCTATCCTGTAGGACACACCCGCGATACGCCCGGTGACCGGTTAATACAGCGACGCATGGGATGTAAGTCTCCAGAAGTAAAGAGCATGAGATCATGCAACAACTCGATGAGTAGAAGCATATTCTGTGTAGCCATGCTGTGTGTCGCCGGTCCGCGTAGAAACACCTATCCAGAGACCTAGCTAGATATGACCGCTAACATTGATGCGTATGACTGCGAATATAAAGGTATATATATATATATACGTTATTTATTTATTTATTTATTCTATAGGCCGTTGTTTACCGATAGTCTCTTTTTGCAGAATCTTTGCTATGCGTGGTTTATAATAGGGATTCTTATGCCTCTGTTTTACGGATTGATTCAGTAATTTCTTTGAGCAGCTTTTAGTGAGAAAGGAAAATGCTTCACATCTTTGGAATGAAATCTTGAGAAAAAAATATAGTCGCGTAAAGACGACGACGTCTGTGCCAGTCTAAGTGCTAATCGATAATTACTTATCGGAGATCGATCCGAAGACGATACAGCCTGTTAGATGGCCTGCCATGAAGAGCATCTGGGCCGTGGCAACCAGCCATGCCTTGTCACACACGAGGTCCCACTGCGAAGTAACATCATGAAGCAATGAGAGGAAATAATGTCGAAACAAAGTAGAAAGTAGTAAAATATAACAGCGAATTCAAATTAAAACACGAGTAAACGAGAGAAATATATGTAATGAGACTTGTTACACACGAGGTCCCACTGCGAAGTAACATCATGAAGCAATGAGAGGAAATAATGTCGAAACAAAGTAGAAAGTAGTAAAATATAACAGCGAATTCAAATTAAAACACGAGTAAACGAGAGAAATATATGTAATGAGACTTGTTACACACGAGGTCCCAGTGTAAAGCAACATTGTGACGAAATAAGAGGAAATAAACGTCGAAACAGAGTAAAACGTAGTGAAATATAACACCGAATTCAAATTAAAACACGAGTAAACGAGAGAAATATATATAATGAGCCTTGTTACACACAGGGTTCCACTGTGAAACGACATCATGAAGGAATCAAAGGAAATAAACTTAAAACGTAGAAAAATATAACAGCCACCACATACGACAGCATACTGACTGATCTAAACCATGGGTTCCGTTCCGGTTTCTCCTGTGAGTCTTAGCTGTTGACAACAACCAATGACATACTCACAGATTTCGACAATGAAGCTCAAGTGGACATTGCTGTTCTCGACTTTAGCAAGGCATTTGACACCCATCGCCAATTACTGGCCAAAGTCAATCGGTACAGTGTCAGAGGCCCCACACACCAGTGGCTATCAAACTTTCTAATGAACCGGACTATGATAGTAGTACTTAATGGAGAAGTATCCGAGGAAGTACATGTGAAATCAGGAGTGCCCCAGGGCACGGTACTGGGCCCATTGTTTTTCCTCTGTCAGATAAACGACCTACCACTGAGCGTAAACTCCCAAGTCCGTTTATTTGCCGATGATTGTCTTAATTCTCTATCGCACAATCAGAAACATCACAGACCATATAAAATTGCAGGACGACCTCACATCCCTGGAATGCTGGGCAAAAAACGGGGGGGTGCAGTTCAGTGCAAAGAAGTGTCATATCCTGCGCATTAGGAACAAGTCTCAGTATATGTACATGCCTCTGTGGCGAAAAACTCAAGACTGTGGAGACCAATCCATACCTAGGTGTTCAACTGGTCAATGACCTCAAATGGTACCACCACATCTCAAGCACTACCAAGAAAGCATCATCTACTCTGGGCTTCCTGCGGAGAAACTTACGCAGGTGTCCACAGCAAACCAAACGTATTGCATATCTCAGCCTAGTACGACCCATAATGGAGTATGGTGCAATAATATAGGGACCCATACCAACGACAGGATATAGACCGACTAAAAAAGATACAACACCGTACAGCCCGCTTCATCACAGAGAACTCTAGGCTGTGTTACAGACATGCTATCGTCCCTACATCTGGCAAGCCTCCAAAACCGCCGTCGTGATATGCGACTAACCTATCTCTACAGAATCATCAGTGGGCTGGTACCAGCAATGCCCCGTCAGCTTTTCTACAACCAGTTCAAACCGGCAAAAGACGAGTGATACCACCTAGCAGATACAACAAGGAGGAGTTCAGCAGTGCTCTCATCGACGAACGTTCCATCCGTCTGAACTCAAAAGGATTCAACGTACCAGCGTACAAAACTGACCAGTACAAGAATTCCTTCTTTGACCGCACAGTGATACAGTGGAACCACCTGGGTGACCACATAGTAACTGCGGACAGTGCTGAGTAATTTACATCTATGCTCAGCCAAGATCAATTCTAAAATAATTAGCCCTCTCCCGATTCCGTTGCCTCGATGCCAATTTTGGATACTGCAACGTATCACAACAGAAACAGAAACAGAACGGCAAATTCAATTAAACACGAGTAAAATGAGAATAATATATGACCCTTCTTACACACGAAGTCCCACTGTAGAGAACTGGGTCATAATAAATATGAGAGAGCGAGAGAGAGAGAGAGATGAGAGAGAGATGAGACGACAGAGAGAGGAGACCGACGAGAGGGAGAGGAAGAGAGACGAGCGAGAGAGAGACGATGAGAAGCAGACGATGAGAGAGAGAGAGAGAGAAGATAAGACGAAGGATAAGGTGGGGATAATGGCTGGTGATGGGGTGACACACGAATAATTTTGTGTTCTTTTCTTGGACTTCTAAACAGCCATCAACAACCATGATCAAAATACACAAATATTCCATCGCATAGTTACCTTAATTCTTACGCACCCCCCCCTCCACTTTGCATCCATATATCACGAAGTGCATATCACTAACGAATATCGTAGTTGATAGCAGCTAAGCTATAATACTACAATCTCTGCTACTCTTGCATCTTGAAGCTCGAATAAATTATGTTGTACCGTGCGATTTATGACATCATCTCGCTGAAGCGACGACCTTATCTTTAACGACCATGTAACTTTATCTGAAATGAGTAACCGAAGAACGAACGTTGGTTTACGAGGTTTCACTTTTAAGATGGTGGACTTTAAACGTCACCGTGTTTCTGATTTTAAGAAAAGAAGAAGAAAATCATCGGAGGGTCAACCTTTAACAAGGCGTAATGTACACACAGTCACAGAAGACCGTCGCCAACTTCTAATGCTATTCTCAGAGTAAATGAAAAACCTTCTTTTATACAAACAAGAAGTGTTAAACGCCACTGCTAAACCGTTTGACCATCTGTCAGATGTCTCTTGATCGCTACGATAGATGGCAGTGATTCGATTACTGACCACTAGGTGAGATGGTAGATTGGCGAGATGGAGATGGATGGTCTTTTTATTAGCGGTTCGTATTCATTGTCTAGCTGACCTTGATGAAAGACTTTGTAATTCGAAAGGTTGTCAATTACAATGTTCAAAAACGTTATTCTATAATTTGAATTTGTTTTTTATCTACTGGGTGTTTGCGTGTGACTTTACGTAATAGTATATATATATATATATATACGATATATATATATATATATATATATATATATATCGAATAAGAGTGATTCAGGGAGGAACGAGAACAAAATGGAAGAAAGAGAGAGGGACAGAGAGGGGGAGAGCTACACGCGGGTATGCACGCTTCCACGCTACAGACACGCGCACACCAGGAGTATTCGTAAATATGTTTTACTTATTTATATACTCCTGTATATTGGTTTTTTCTCGGGGTTAAGAACGTGTGACTTTAGATGGACACACCGTCGATGAACCGCAGTCGATAGGGGTTCACCAAACGACGTGGTACCAGTCGCAAACCGGCTGGCGGGGCAATTTTCAAGGGAGAAGAAAAAAAGTATCAGGAAGGAGTCACGGAACTATATTACGACATCAAACTAAGCTTTGAGTTTCTGGTTATCTATCAATCATTCTATTAATCAGAGCTTCTAATCTCCGTACTATAGGGTATAAATAAGTTGTAGATCTAGCGCTCTATATTACGTACTAAGTTTGACACATGTCATGAACATGCTGAGAGTGATTTTATTTTAAGATAAATCCAGAAATAGATTATTGACATATTAACGAGTGAAAAAAATCGTGTTATCAAGACAGGCGCTAAAGCAGCTACCTAGGCCAATATATGTTTGCGGTTATCGTAAAATACGATTTCTCTTGACAACAATATACGATCTATACCTACTTTATAAGACTTTGTCGGTATGTTACATATAAAAGTAAAGTGACATTATTTTTGTAATGTGAAGTATAACTGCTAGTTCTCTTGCAAATGTTTAGTTAGCGTTGGAAGTACGTCGGGTAAATAGCTGTAGCCATGTATTCGGTGACACCGCGGTGGTGGTGGGGGACTGGAGACAATGCATCGCTGGTTTGCGTTTCATCCGGACTGGAGATAATGCATCGCCAACAAAGTTTCGCTGTGCGATGCTTTGAAAGTGATATGGCTGTAATAAGCTTACACTAACGCTCAAATAGCTCACACACGCGATCTGGCAGGCTTTCTAACTGCAGCTGAAAATCCCAACATTTTCATGGCACAGACACATACGCGCACTCGCTCTCTCCCTATAATATATATATATATATCAGGATTAGATAATAGGGATCCCTATTATCGCCCTGCCCCTTAATCCCTATTATCTACTCCTGATAAGACTACGGTCAGATTAATTCGCGCCGGCAGCGCCCTCTGGTTGACTCTGGCGATTTCGGCGAGTAGTTTGCGCAACTCTGCTTCCTTCCGGTTGACATAGAGCCATCGTGGAGACTCGGCGACGACGCTGCGAGTAGGTGAAATATCGCCATACAGTATTCAAGCCTGTTTATAACGACCACTAACCAAATGTGTCCTTTATAGACAGATTTCCCGGGGGGGGGGGCGTGAATCCCTATGTCCCAGCTTGGGACGCGGCCAACCCAGAAGCCACCGGCTAATGCCGTGATCCACTTTGGAAATAATAATAATAATAATAACAACAATAACAACAACAACAACAACAACAACAACAACAACAACAACCAAACAGCTAAGCAACTCACAAGAACACAGCTACGAGCAGAGCGGCCACCCAAACGGACATTGCCAACTGTAGATGGCGCCAGTCTCGCAGTATCATTGCCATCCAGGGCAGCGCCATGTAGCTGAGTGCGAAAGCACATTGGAAGATGTTGCTGACCAGGTTCCGGTACTTGGGCGTCACAATCTCTATCACTGCAGGCGGCGCACGAAAAACAGCAAGACAACGAATATTATATATATAACGAATGTATATATATATATATATATAATTTCCTATATTAATGACTATAATGATAATAATCATCATCATCATCATCATCATCATCATCATCGTTGTCGTCGTCGTCGTCGTCGTCGTCGTCGTCGTCGTCGTCGGTATGATGATAATAATCGTAAAAATCATCATCATAATGCTACGAGTAGAGTAGAGTAGAGTAGAGTAGAGTAGAGTAGAGTAGAGTAGAGTAGAGTAGAGTAGAGTAGAGTAGAGTACATTACGTTAGAGTAGAGTAGAGTAGAGTAGAGTAGAGTAGAGTAGAGTAGAGTAGAGTAGAGTAGAGTAGAGTAGAGTAGAGT